CCCTATTCCTTTCCATGAGTCTGACATGTAGTGGGGCACCTGCCTGGAGGGCGGGTCTTAGGGGCTGGTGAGATGCCAGGACATGGAGGAGGAGCCTTTCCCAGCTTCCAGGACAATATCTGTGGGTGCCTGAATGGGGGAGCAGGGAAACAAGGAGGGGATCTAGGGGCCAGTCCAGGGGGGACAGGAAAGCTGTGAAGACAGACTCTGAGGTGGACTGGTATAAGGTAGATAGAGGATAGAGACCACCACTAATCTGTTCCGCGAGGCTGTCAACCCAGCAGAAATCTCGGCTCTGTCTGAGTTTTCAATGTCTCCTCAGTATCAGCTCCCAACATGCTCACGCGTCTGCTTCTAGGAGGTTCTGCAGCAGCTGCTCTCTGGACTTGTCCTTGTCCATCTCTACCGACACCTGCATCGATTGAGATGTGTCTTGTTAGCGTTTTTAATGTGCTCCTTGATCAGAATCACGTCTTCTTTCAGAAAAGTTGTTTCCTGTGTCAGGGCTTGGGCACCACAGAGCACGGGGGCATGTTCTGAAGGGTCTGGTGACTTGCTTTGTCCTTTGTGCTTTAGCTCTTGGGTGAACAGCTGCAGCCTCCTCCCCAGGGAGGCTTGTCACTGCCTTCCTGGCAGCCTTTCTAGGGCCCCTGATGATTGCCCTGCTCTCTGCTCCTTCACATTGAAGTTTTAAGCAAGCATCTTGGGAAGTCCCTGCCCACACCACCCAGGCCTCTTGCCCAAGCCATGAGAGCTGGCTCTGAGTGGCAAGAGGCCTTAAGGTGATCTCTGAGATCCACAGCACAGGCATTTGCCCCTGGCAGTCCCTCTGGCAGGTTGTTGAGATACACACCAGGATCCAGAATTTGCATCATTATGACCTCCTGAGAGCCAGCAACAGCTTAGCAGTGAGTAGACCAGGATGATTTTCTTTCTTGGATTGATTTTTTTTTTTTTTTTACTGGCCCTGGAGTTATAATTATCTTGTTCCCTCATGAGCTTAGTTCCTGTTGTGCTCATTCCTAATCACCCCTAAGACCACCCCAGGGTCAGAATCTCCATGGACATATCACACACACCAGCTATTCTGCCTGCTTCCTCCTGGGCAGACCCCTGTCCCACAGCCTCAGTCCTGCCTTCCAGGGCCTGGGGCCTGCTCACCTGGACAGGGCTGAAGGCCCAGATCCCTCACCTCACCCTTGGCCTCTCACCTGTCCCTGTTCCCCTCTGGTTGCTTTTCCCATGTCCTATTCTCAGTGTCCATCATCTTTGTCTCCCCTTTGCCCACTAGTGTCCTTTGCCCACTAGAGGGGGGACATGGAAAGTAACCCCTGAGACCACCAACAGCTGAAGTGAATGTCTGTGCCCCCAGCGCCTCCCTCACCTGGACCTGACATGGGGTCTGGGCTGTATTCCCCTGAGAATGGGGCAGGCCTGGCTCCAGGGTCTTCTGGCCTCCAGGCCTGAGTTGTCTCTTGAGGACCCCAAGGTCTGTCCTTCTCCAGCCTCTTTCTGAAAGTTCCTGGGGCGGGTCATGGTGTGGGGCTGCTCATCCTCTGTAGGAGGAACCCGGGTAGGACACTCAGCGTGCACATTTTATCTGTGAGTGCTCAGGGATTTTCTTGAATTTTTTTCATCATTTCCACTCTCCATTCTTTTAGACATTTGTATTATTAACTAGTTGGAATTTCCTGGTCGATAGACACAGTTTCTTTTAGGTCTTCTCTCTGCTAGAATATAACCAACTTTCCCTATATATGCATAAGGAATCTACCTCTCAATGAGTATCTGAAATCCGTGTGGGTAACGAGGGTGCGTCTCCTGAGCTAAGGAGTGAGGTGGGGCCTAGGACCCCAGGAGAGAGGAGGGGGTCACATGGCAAGGACAGGGTGGCTCATATGACGAACACCGGATATTCTACGATTATGTTTGCCCTGACATATAGGTAGGTTTCTTGGATATAAAGCTCATTTCTGGTAATAACCCTAATTTTGGATAAGACCACCCATTTTCATACCAGGTAGTTATAGAAGTGGTAACTGTTTCCTAAGATGAACCCCTGATGAACATCAGATGGAAATAATTCAAAAGCCAAAGTGGCCTGTCTTGGGGACACCTTTCTGAACATTTTGGGGAGGTCTGTCTCCTTCAGCACAAAATAAATGAGGGAAAAGCAAATGAGGGTGAGGATGGGCCTAGGACCAGGAGGCAGTTTATGCTACAGGTCTCTTCAATATGATTGCATCCTGGGGCAGGACATGGAGGGGTGCTAAGGGCAGAGGGGACAGGCTGGTCTATGGGGCTAGAGCACATGTGTCGGTGCGGGAGTGACAGCTGTGGGAAGATAAAAAATCAAATTATGCTTAATTTGTTTTTAATATTTTTTTTTCAGCTCTTGATACTATTGATAATAGAGTTAGGGCTTCTGCTTCTCTGCTTTCACAACAAACATGCTCCTTCCTTTCAGCACAGAGCTCAGGTCGGGTTTACACGTGTCTTTGTCACCTTTATTCAGTGTTCAACTCTCCTGACAGTGCAAGCTCCATGTCTCCAGGGTCCTCTCTCTGCTCCCCATTGTATCTGCAGGGGAGGCAGCTTGGGGAGGCAGGAGCCAGCCTGGGAGAGGGATGCTGGGAAGTGAAGAGGAGGCAAAGGCAGAGAACACTTGGGAGATGCTCCCTGGTTTCCTGAGAAAAGCATTTCTCAAAGTGTGGTCTGTGGAGCCCTTGAAGTCACCCAGAGCCTTTCATGGGATCCATGAAGTAAAACTATTTTCAAAACATCACTTAGACACCATTTGTCTTTTCACTGTTTGGCATTTGCTGGTAAAATTTAGTAATAGTGGAGCTTATAGCACCATGCTGAAGTAGTGATTCTTCACCAGCACTTACCTGCAGAGACAAACATTAAAGCCAGTTTCATTTGAAAATGTCCTGGGAAAAGCATTAGAAGTTATCTTCATTATTGCATCATCCTCAACTCCACATTTTAAAATATCTGGTGTGCTGACCTGGAAGGACACATGGAACACTTCTGCAGCATCCCCAAGCACTGAGTCTCGAGGAAAATATTTGTATGAGATGAATTAGTGCTGGTGGCCAGCCTCGGCAAAATGTCGTGTCAGGGGTTCCTGAAAGGATGAGACGGCCTAGGCGACATGTTAAGGGCTGAAAGGAAGGGGATGAGGCAGACCCGCACTCTTCTTTTTGGTGCAATTCTCTCCTGCTGAGGGGCTCAGCAAGTCTTTATTTATTCATTTTTTGCAAGCAGAAAAATCACATCATCATGTATAAAACAGAGACAATCAGAGTATTCTATTCCCATGGACCTCTCGCTCTGCCAGGACTCAGCTAGACGGTAGCCTTCAAGGTTAATAGATAAAAAAACTAAGCCTTACACTAAAACTCATTATTTCAGCTAGACAATTACCTAAGACAGTTGACAGCCGTCGGTACACCCCTATCAGCTAAAGCCTAAGCATCCAAAGATTCTTTTTATTCGAGTGGCCTTCAGCCGGAGACCAGCTGCTTCTCAGCTATCAGAACTTTTTCTACCTAGAAACTCCTTAACATAAATAACTTCATTTAAAAACTTTCCCAAGAAACTTCTGGAAAACAGGAAACTTCTTAAAAAGCAAAAGCAGGACTTACTGTAATTGTTGTGCTGGATTGCTTGTCAGGCATGTACAATAAATTGTCTCCCATTGTCAAGTGGGCCAAATTGTGTAATAACTAATTTCTAAACAGATACTTTTCCGTGCCATTTATTTACAGTATGCTGATATATATATATAATTTATTGCCCAATGTACTTTCTGATAAATTTTTCTTTTTTTATGACCAAGAAAAAAAAATGAAGGGGTGCTAAAACTTCAGCCGCATGGTGTGAGGCTCTTTGAGCTTCGGCCCCATGGTATGAGGCCCCTTTTCTTAGCTGCTTGCCAGTGTCTTACCTGGCTGGGGCAGCAAGGCCCCCTGCAGCAAATTAGACTCTTTTTATTTGTGGGCAACACCAATCTTACCTGAGGGATAAATGACAAAAACTAAGGTCTTTTAAATTTGGTTAATTAGCAGACACTTTTCTCAAAATGATTGTGTTTCTTTTTTTTTTTTTTTAAAGTTTTTTAAAAATCATTTATACAATAGCTGGGATACAGGCCAGAGGCACAGGAAGGTGAGAGGCTTCATCAGAGACAGAGTGGGGAGCAGAACAGGCAGACAGACTGAAAGCAATGCTGAGGGGAGCAGGTGGTGGGACAGGAGAGGTCTGCAGCACCATTTGGGAATCTCCCTGGTCCAATAACCCGCGCTGCAGAGGCTGGGGACAGCTTCACAGCACTGTGCTCAACCTGCTGTGCCACTGGAGAGGTTGAATGTCTGTTTCTTGTAGAAAATCAACAATTGGCAACTGACAGTAATTTTGCCTGATAAAATATAAGTTCTCAGATAAAACCAGAATTATGAAAAAATGAGTGCATCAATACTTGACAATTTACAGTACAAATTTTTCTTTTGGGATTTGTGATTAAAATATAAAACTTTTTTTAATCATTTGATTCCAGTATAATTAACACTAAAAATCTATGTAACTTAGTGAAACAATGTATCACCTTAAAATATCATGCATTAGCACAAGTTCCAGCCAGTATGCAAGAGAGGCCTATGGAAATGTAACAGAAGAGGAAATAGTCCATGAAATTATTTCAGGTTTCACTTTGCAAGTAACCTTTGAGAAACTACCATCTGTACATTTTAATTCATGCTGGAATATTCACAATTATCTGAAAATACTCCTAGTTTCTTCATTCCTCCACCTGCTGCTTCTCTCAGCTCAAATCCACTCCTCCCTAAGGTGGGGAGGGAATTTTGAGCCTCCCCTTTCTGTGGAAGTCACCCTGTCACAGCATCATGTCTCCCTCTCACAGGCTCTGTGGGGTGGTGCAGCCTTGCTGACCCCACACTCACCCCCATTCTCTCTCCCCATTTCCTGGGGGTTTCCAGGGAAGACAATCAGCATCATCCTGCTCCAGTTACAAAATCTCCAAGGACCTGGACTCCTTCTCCCCAGGCCCCTGGATGGGAGTGTGATGCCCCTCACCCTCCTGCTGCTGCTCTGGGGGCCCCTGGCCCTGATGGAGACCTGGGCGGGTGAGTGCGTGTCCAGCTGGACACTGTTGCTCCAGGAGGGAGGAGCAAGGAGCCCCCTGCGGGTGCAGGACCCCAGGAAAGGCTCATCTCCCCGCAACCTCTTGTTCCCTTTTAGGCCCGTTGTGTTCTGGCCCCTTCTGTCCCTCCCGCTCCCCTGAGTGCTCTGGGCCCTGAGTCTGGGCCCTTCTTGGCCCACCCCCCTTTTCACTCTCACGGCCCCGCCCCTTTCTCCCCTCCAGGCCCATCTCCCTGGGCCCTGGGCCCACGCTGAGAGGAGGGTCAGCCCGGGTCTCCCTCCCGCCCCCAAGCTCCCACTCCCTGAAGCTTTTCTACACCGCCATGTCCTGCAATGGCAATGGCAACCACAACCACAATGGGAAGCCCTGCTACATCGCCGTGGGCTACGTGGATGACACGCAGTTCGGGCGGTTCAACATCAGCTCTCGGGGCCAGAGTGTGGAGCCAAGGGCGCCCTGGGCGGGGCAGGTGGGGCAGGAGGAGCAGGATGAGGAGACTCGGAACCAAAGGAACAGCGCACAGTGGTTCGAAGCGCTCCTGAGGGACCTGCGCGGCCGCTACAAGCAGAGCGAGGACGGTGAGCTTCGCGGAGCGGGGCCAGGGTCAGGTCACACCCCCATTCCCACCATGAGGCCGGGATGTCCCGAGTCTCAGGGTCCACTGATCCCTCGAGGCCGGTGGATCTGCCAGGACCCTCCACGGGGAAGGGACTGTCCTGCCGGTTCTTTCAGTTTAGGTTTATTTAGGGTGGGTGGGGGTGACCGCGGGGTGACCTCCGGGCTGACCACAGGGGTGGGTGTCAGAGTCTCACACCCTCCAGAGGATGTTTGGCTGTGAAGTGGGCCCAGACCTGCGTCTCCTCGGCGGGTATGACCAGTTCGCCTACAACGGCGCGGATTTCATCTCCCTGAGCGAGGACCTGCGCTCCTGGACCCCCGCGGACTCGGTGGCTCAGATCACCCAGCGCGAGTGGGAGGCGCAGGGGAGGGCCGAGCACGTCAGGCACAGTGTGCAGAGCAGGTGCTTCCTGTGGCTCCTCAGATTCCTGAGTCTGGGGAAAGAGGTGCTGCAGCGCACAGGTAAGAGGGGCCACAAGGCCTCGGACCTCCCCTCTCATGGCGCCCCACAGGGAAAACGGAATAATGGGCAGAACAGCACCTGCTTTCTGGGCAGAGAGGGAGAGTCCCCCTGGGTTTCATGTTCTGTGCTAGAGAGAGACTCGCCCAGAAGACACCACTTTTCTGGATGGTTAAGGAATCCAGTCTCTCCTGAGGGAGGGAGGCCATCCTGAAATAACTTCCCTGATCCTTGTGACCCGGCAGCCATCCTGGGAACCATGAGTTTCTCTTTTAAGGTCTTGTTTTTGGTCTGAGAACATTTCTGGATCTGACTCCTGCCTTTCTGTGTTATGCACCCTCCAGCTAGGTCAGGAGCAAAAGTCTGTGTTCTCCTTAGAGACCTGCATCCTCCTACCCTGGGCTCTCACCTGATTATCCCAGATTCCCCAGACTAGGCTGGTTTCTGGACTTTGTGCTTCCTGCCTCCAAACCAATCATGATGTCCATTCTGAGGATGGTCAGTGAGGTTGCTTCAGTATCCATAGAGGAAACCCAATGTGAATTTTCTGATCCTTCTCCTCAGAGCCGCCCAAAACACAAGTGACCCAAAACCCCACCTCTGACCAGAAGGTCACACTGAAGTGCTGGGCCCTGGGCTTCTACCCTGCGGACATCACCCTGACCTGGCAGCGTGATGGGGAGAACCTGACCCAGGACACAGAGCTGGTGGCGACCAGGCCTGGGGGGAATGGAACCTTCCAGAAGTGGGCGGCTGTGGTGGTGCCTTCTGGAGAGGAGCAGAGATACACATGCCATGTGCAGCATGAGGGGCTCTTGGAGCCTACAGTCCTGACTTGGGGTAAGGAGGGGGATGTGGGCACTGGGCTTCTGCTCAGAGGAATCAGGAACCCTTTATGAGACCTTCAGATGGTCAGGATGAGGCTGGTCCTCAGGGTCTCACCTTCCCTTCCCTTCCAGTGCCCCCTCCTCAGTCCTCCATCCCCAACACGGGCCTCATTGTTGGCCTGGTTCTCCTTGGAGCTGTGCTCACTGGAGCTGCGGTGGCTGCAGCTGTGAGGTGGTGGAGGAAGAAGCGCTCAGGTAGGGAAGGGAGTGGGGGCTGGGGGCTTTCATGGGGGCTTTCATGTCCCAGGGAGAACTTGCCCTTCCTGGTTACTAGGGAATATGATCCACACACATGTGTTGCTCATTCTGGAGCTGATTGTGAACACTCACTCTTTGTAAAGCACTTTTAAAATGAATCACCAATGGTTCACCTTATAACTGTGATGATGGGGATCTGTTTCCCGGGAAATGTCACAGGGAAAGGACCCAGCTGAGGAAAGACTCCAATTCCCTCTCATATCCATTCTTCATATATCCCAGTCCTGACCTGGGTCTTCAGTCACAGTTCTAGAAACTTCCCTCTCACCTAGACTTGGGGATTCCTTTAGGACTTGTCACCTGACTCCTCCCTTGTCTCACATGATGTTTCTTCCCACAGGGGGACAAGCAATCAGCGACACTCAGGGTGCAGGTAAGTGTGGATCAGGGGTTGGGTCCTGAGCCCCTGAGGACAGCGTAGAGGGAACTCTAGGGAGAGTCACCCTCATCAGTTCCTCTGAGGATCTCATCTCTGGGCTCTGACCAGGTCTCTTCTGTGCTTCTTCAGGCAGCAACAGCACCCAGGACTCTGGTATATCTTTCACCCCCTGGGACACAGCAGAGGATGGGTCCAGGTTGTGGGGAGCTTTGAGTGGGACAGTCTTAGGATTCAGTGGACTATTGAGAATGTTATCACTTAGTGTAACTCACCCGAATTTCTTCAATATTATTTTCCATCATAGAATGAGAGCTCTGCCTTGTGTGGGACTGAATGTTATAGGATTTCTCTTACCCCCATTTTGTAACTTCAGGATCCTCTGCTTTATTTAATTTTATTTGTTTTCTAGCTGTCAGTGATTGATATAAAATTTTTATTAAATCTATTTATTCTCTTATATCATTGTTAATTTTTGTATAATATTTGATTTCTCTCTCAGATATCATACCTATAGTTCTCTCACCACCATAGCACCCATGATCCATCATTACAGTCTCTTGTGCTCTTCCCTCCCCTGTTTGGAATCATCTCTCTCCCTTTCCCCTGCTGTAGGCCTCAGATCTAGGATCAGGCTGCAAGTTTTGTCTTTATTCTGACCCTTTGTTTGATTTCTGTATATCCTACATATAAGGGAAACCATCTGATAGTTATTTTTTTTTTTTTTAAGATTTTGTAATTTTATTTATTTATTTATTTTATTTTTTTTAAATAGAGGCATGTTTTATTTATTTATTTGTTTGTTTGTTTGTTTATACATGCACTGGGTACAGTCAGAAGCGCGGGAGGGTGAGAGAACTCACCAGAGCCAGAGCAGGGAGCAGAGGCAGAAGGACCGAAGCACACTGCTGAGGGGAGCAGAGGGCGGCAAGAGAGGTCTGCGCGCCATGTGGGACCCTCCTCCGGTGGCCAGGGAGCAGCCGGGGATCGAACCTGCGCGGCAGAGGCCGCGGGCAGCTTCGCAACCCAGCGCTCAACCGCTGCGCCACCAGGGAAGCCCTTCTGATAGTTATTTTTTCCTTCTGACATATCAAGCTCAGTATCCCTTCCTGCCCCATCCATATATCCCAAATGGCATGAGTTTATGTTTTTGATCACTGAGTAGTATTCCACTGTGTATATGGATCATGCCTTCTTGATCCATTCACAACCCCTTTATTTAAAACACAATGATAACCTGAAGCAGGATGTTTCCCAAGCCTGCTGCTTGGGGGAGTCTACCACTTTGGTTCTGCTGCTTGCTGGAGCGGAGAAGTGCTGGGTATACTGCACTGCTTGTCTGAGGTGGAGCCATGACTCCTTTGAACCAATTCCCAAACAATGAAGAATGACCCCACTGTGCCTGCCGGTGTGGCAATTAAATCTCTCGCTTTCTACTTCTCTGAGTGCCCTCTGATTTCTCTCGGGAAATTGCTGTGAGGTTTTTGTTCCCTGATCAGGACCCTCCAAAGCCAGCGGCCCCTGGACTGGGGTGGCGTCCACATCTACAGGCCTAGCACAATCCTGGTGTTTGGGGAACAATTCAGGCGGGAGTCAGTACAAAGAAAACTGGTCCTTAGTCCAGGTCGTGGGGCCAGCATGGGGGCAAGACAAACTTAGATGCCAGCCTGGTGCCAGAGGCTACCTCCCCATGCTACAGGGACTGCTGTGGGCCCCCCATTCCTCGCCCAATGCCAGGCAGAGCTCCTCCTCCTGGTAGCCCTCCTGCTCAGCCAGCTTCTGCCAACAACTACCCAGGTCCTCACCTCCTGGGATGCTGGGGTCCCTGAGAGCAGCCCCCAGCACACAGTTTGATGCCTATGCAAAAAAGCAGCAGAGGTCACGCATCCCGGGGTTCTCAGCCTGCAGGTGCCAATTAAATTGCATGAGTTGCAGATTTGGCCTCGGTGGCTCTGCAACTGCCGACTCACCTAGATGAGGTGGCCTCGCTGCTCCAGAGTGGCCAGGTGCACCGCTGCCTCCTGCTGTAGACGCTACACCAGCTCCTCCTTGCTGAATACTGCCATCCCCTCGTCCGTCAGCAACTCCACAGTGCTTGCCTTGGGCCCTCATGGTGGCTCAGCTGAGATATCACCTGCTGCCTCTGTGGCCTGGAGCCCCCAGTCCTCAGGCTCAGGACCTGCGCCGGCAACTACACCCAAGCTGAGATGAAAGAGAGCTTGCGTCAAAAATAAAGGAGAATATTCCATTGTGTATATATTCCATATCTTCTTGATCCAGTCATCTATTTTTGGGCATTTGGTTATTTCCAGGTTTTACCTATTGTAAATAGTGCTGCAATAAACATAGGGGTACAGGTGTTCTTTTGAATCAGTGTTTCTGTGTCCTTTGGGTAAATATCTAGGAGTGGAATTGCTGGATCATATGGAAGCTTTATGTTTAGTAGGTCAAGAAATCTCCATAGTGGTTGGACCAGTTTGCACTCCCACCAGCAGTACAGGAGAGTTCTTTTTTCATCACATCCTTGCCAACATTTGTTGTTGCTATTTTTTTTATATGTGCCATTCTTAATGTTACTCAACCATTAAAAAGATAAACTCATGCCATTTGCAGCAACATGGATGGAGCTAGAAGGAATTATGCTCAGTGAAATAAGTCAGTAGGAAAAGGAGAAATATCAGATGGTTTCACTTATAGCTGGAATATAGGAGAACAAAATAAGACATCAGTGTAAAAAAATAATAGCAATATGAACACAACAAAACAAAAATAGGCAATTATAAGCCAGAGACATCCTGCAGAGGAGGAGGAGGGAGAAGGATCAGAGGGAGGGAGAGAAGAGCACAAGGGACTGAGTTGATGGTGCATGGGTGCATAGGGGAAGGAAATTCTATGGGGACTACACAGGGTGGGGGGAAGCAAATATTGTTTAAAAATGAAAAATGATGTAAAAAATAAATAATTTAAAAATAATAAAAAAATAAAAATAAAATAACAAATTAAAAAAAAAAAAGGCGAAAACACCAGAGGAGTGATGGTTCCTACCAGACAGATAAACTCTTGTTCCTTCAGTTTGCTTCTTCAGGTGCCAGATTTGTGTACAGCACATAGGCTCCTCCCTTTTAAGGCCCTGTAGGTGGACTTCACAAAAATCAAGCCTTGCAGAGGCTACAGATATTTGCTTGTTGTGATCTGCACCTTCTCTGGGTGGGTAGAAGCGTCCCCTCTAGAAGGGAGAAGGCCCGAGAAGTCACCAAAGCTCTTGTAAGGGAAATAATTCCTAGATACAGGGTCCCTGTGACTATTGGCAGTGATACTGGCCCAGCCTTTGCTGCTGAAATCACCAGTCACCTGACTTGCTTACTTCACATTACATGGAATCTTCCCGCCTATCGGCCACAGAGTTCAGAGACAGTAGAACATGACTCCTGAGCCATTAAACGACTCTGGGAAAGTTTTGCCAGGAAAAAGGTTTGTCCTGGGTGGACCTTTTCCCCTTAGTGCTTCTCAGAATTCGGTGCATCTAAATGCCAGTGGCTACACCCCCTTTGAGATTTTGTTTGGCCGGCCTCCCCTGTTGTGTCTGTGGTGAGGGGACACACTAGCGAACTGGGACTAAATCGGCAGCTGCAGCTCCTTAGTAATGTCCTACACAAGGTTAATGAAACTGTCACCCAGAGGGCCCTGTTCCCCTGGGATCCCCAGTTCCTCCCCACAAACCTGGGGACTGAGTCTGGATAAATGACTGGAAAAAGAACCACTCAAACCTGTCTGGGTGGGACCCTCTACTGTCATCCTTACTACCCTACTGCTGTCAAATTTGCAGGTGTTTTTCTGAGGGAACAACACTCCCCAGATACGTCAGGTCGTCCTAGACGTCGGAACAATTTACGATCACAAACCAGAATGACCCTGCGGAGCGACTCCCACCAAACACTGTGACCTTCTGCAGCCCTGCTCCAAACACAACCCGGAAGCTGGTGAGTGCAGTAGGCAGCACTACCCATGCTGTCTCTTGACAAGATCCGGGCATTGGGGGAGTGTCAAAGACCAGCCTTGGCAAACTGGGTTTCAGGGGTTCCTGAAGGATGGGATGGTGTCGGCGCAATTGAGGAATGGATCAGACACACTCAATGTTTTGTGTTAATATGTCTGTCCCCGAGGGTCTTAGTAAGTCTTTATTTATTTATTTTTAGTAAGCAGTGAGATTGCATTATCATATGCATAGAAGCAAAGCAAAAGCAATTAGTGCATTTTTTTCCTGTTATGTGTTTTCAATAAGAAGGCTACCTTTAAGGTTAATAGATTAAAAAATTAAACCTTACACTAAAATTTATTAGTTTTGTCTAGACAAATACTTAAGACAGTTGATAGCTGCCAGTACACTTCTATTAGCTAAAGCCTAAACATTAAAAGATTTTTTTATTTAAATGGCCTTTAGTCAGAGACCAGCTGCTTTGTGGTTATCAGCTAGCAGGGTTTTCTACCAAGAAACTTAACACAATTAACTTTATTTAAAAACTTTCCCAAGAAGCTTTTAAAAAAAGCAAAAGAAGGACTTACTGTAATTGTTGTCCTGGGTTGTTTGTCAGGCATGCTCAAGTGTAACAAACTCTTTCCCATTGTCAGGCAGGCCAAATTTACAGTGTTTAATTTTTAAGCAGGTATTTCTTTGTGCCATTTACTTACAGTATTTTATATGTATAATTTATTGTCCAATGTGCTTTCTGAGAAGTTTTTTTTTTATATGACCAAGAACTAAAAGCAAAGGGATGCTTATAGGTTATAGATTAATCTTCAGCCCCACAGTGTGAGGCACAAGGAATCTTCAGCCCCATGATGTGAGTCACAAGGAATTTTTAGCCCCACGGTGTGAGACTGTTTGGAAATCTTTGGCCCCACGGTGTGAGGACCTTTTTCTTAGCTGCTTGTCAGTGTCTTATTTGGCTGGGGCAGTAAGGCCCTCGGGAATTTTCCCTTTTTTTGTTTTTGGCCATTATCCGCATTATTTTTAACTTAATATGTGTTTGGTTGATGGCACAGAAAAGTAATTTGGCAAACAATGGGAAAAGAAACAAGATAATTATGGTGACAAGCAAAATAATACCTATAGTAATAAATGATGGGAACCAGGCAGCTTTAGTGGTGTAGTGCTGTAAGGAGGTCAAGAAGGAATCAGCAATCTCTGCTGGAGTTAAAGAGATACATAAGTTAAACTAATTGTTTTAATATAATCCTGAAGATAACCAAGATTTAAGGAAGCATTTGTATTATTTCAAACCTTTAGCAAATGATTTTTAACATTATACCATGAAACAGAAGAGGAATTATAAACAAGTGGAGTAACACAAATTGATTTGTAATTAGAGTGACATGTAGTGGTTTAAGCAAATTTTGGTATGCTGAATTTGATTACCAATATACAAAAATGTCTCCTCTAGAACATTTAAGTGAGTCTTAAAATTTTTTATTTAAAAGCATAAATATTAAAATCATCATACCAATATTTTTTAGATTTACAGGCAGTATAACATAAGGAGGTTGATAAACAATTACAAAAACAATTTGTCTACATTATCCCAAGCACTATTTAAATCAACAAGCAAGGTTTCACACAAGGGAACAGAGGAGGCGTGTTGCTGCACAGCGTGGCAGAAGTTGGTGACGAAGTAGGACTGATTTGTGACTTCTCAAGTTGCAATTGGTGAAGAGGAGAAACCAATGTACTGGATTAGTCTATTGGGGATCCAGATGGGTGAATCAGTGTCCTGTAGAAAAATACAAGCATAGCCTCTTCCACAAGTTAAATGAATTAAAAAAAATTTTGAAGGCAGAGGAGGTGTAAGTAGTGCATTATTTGTCTTAATAGTCTTAGGCTTTTTTGTATAAGCAAAACAAAACATTAAATGTTGAGACACATCTTTAAAGGCTTTTTCTATTTGAGCTGTAGCCATAATTAAATGAGAAAAGGTGTCTACAGAGACATATACATAACTTAATTTTTTAAAGCTAGGAACATAAGGTTTTAGGAGAAGCTGCAGCGTTAGGAGAATTAGTTTTTTTTGAAGTAATTTTTGATTTTTGAGGGCAATTTTTACTGAAATGGCCTGTGTGACCGCATGAAAGTAGGCTTTGGTATTAATTAGTCTTTTTTTCATTATATGAATAAATTGATCAAATAATGCAATACAGTCAAATTTTTAACACATATTATTGTTTTTCTTTAAACCCATTATTTGCAGGTTTTATAAATCAAGGCAAATAAAATTTACTTTCCCTCAAACCTTTTACGACTTACTACATACCCTTAATTTTAGCTTATTTAAAATTTTTTCACATTTTGTCACAACCAGACATTTTAATTTTAAGACAAAACTACTCCCCCTTTTTTTTTAGACACCACTAAAACTTGTAACAAATTATGATGGTGTATTTTTTTTCAGTAGTCCAGAACACAAGGAGGTGCTTTGTGTGTTTGCCACCCCAAAATGTTACTTTAAACATTGCAGTTTTTTTAAAATTGGCTTAAAAACAGTGTGGCTTGGTTTTACTTGGTAAAGTTAATATGACAAAAAAATTTGCATATGTAAGTACATATATATATATATATATATATATATATACATTTTTAGTCAAGGAAAGAAAAATACTTTAAAGATATATTTAAACAGTAGATTATTAATATTTAACATTATAACTTTAAGGCATATATGCTTTGAATTATATTATAAAATTTGAACTAGTTTTTGTATATTAAAAATTTTGGATCATGATCTCAAATTTTTTTTGTGAAAACTTATATAGGTGCCATTTATAATTGGTCCTTTGGAGGTAAAAAACAAAACAAAACAAAACCACAAAGACAGACACAAACAGACACAGATTTTTTGATATACATTTAAAATTTTGGCCATGTGTGTATATTTTAAGAGATAGTTATTTTATCAATATGTGTAAAGATACTGAGGCTTTTAATGAATTAAAAGCTAAAATTTGTACAGAGATTGTGTCTAATTTTAATTATTACCAAGGACCTTGGGCTCCAGACCACAACAGTCACTGCAGTTTTTACTAACTTTTTTAAATAAGAAAATATTTTTGGAGTTCATACTTTTAAGAAATGATTTTTTGGCTTTAGGTTGTTAATGCTTTATCTCACTGAGAACAAGCATATTTTAAAACATAAAAGAACATTGTTATCTTAATAACAGGAGAAGAGGTAAATTTTAGTCAGTCTGTCTGTTTTTAGGCTTTTATTAAAATTTGAGGTTTAGAATTTAGCTCAAAAATATCTGTATTATTACTTTATATTTTACCAGGTTAGTTAGTTTTAATAACTAAAAAATAGTTAGTTTTTAACCTTTTACAGGTTCAATAAGTAAATTTAAAAGCTTTTATTTAACCAATAAACATTTTGTATAGCTTGTTAGCAAGTCCAAAGTAACTCAGCAGTTTTTACCTTTGACAATTTAGACTTTAAAATCAGAAAAACACAGGAAAATAGAACTTTTTTTCTATTTTGGTTCTAGAATGAACCAAAATAGTTTTTTAAGGTGGACAATAGAAAAGTTCAGTACCCCACTGCAGGAAGGCAGTAGAGACCTGCCAGTGATCTTAACACCGGAGAAAAAGTCCAGGCAGCTGTTTGTTGAGACCAAGGGCAGTCCCCACCTATCGGCTGTAGTGGGTTTATACTATTTTAATAAAAACCTCTTAGTCATATTATAGCCATATCATTTTATATAGTCATATTTAATCATTTTGTATTACTTTACAAAGTAATACAATATATTTATTTATTTATTTTAAAAGAAACAAATGGCAAAACTCCACCGGGGGGAACCTAGCCTTCTCCCCAAATAATTAACAGGAAAAGTTTCAAGCATTTTTTCTTTAATTTATAAGATCATGTCACATTATTTCTTACTTGTTTTTGAGTTTTTATTTTTATCTTTTTACAAGCCAAGTCCGGGCTGGAAATTTGGGTTGGATTTTGGAATGGTCTTGTAGTTGGGAGCCGATGCCTCTGCAAAGAGGTTAGTACAGGCTCTGGGATTGATTTTTGATTTTTGAAAAATAATTTCATCATCTGATGAATACTGTAGGTTTGTTTTTTTTTGTTTTGTTTTATTTTACTTTTTGTTTTGTATCTTAGACACTGGAGCATAGTTGGGAAAGTAGTTGTCACAATTGGGAGGTTTTGCTTTAGTGGGACAGTTTTGGCCAAAATGTCTTGGCTGTCCACAAGAAAAACAGAAGCTGTTATTGTTTGGGCCAATGCCAGCATCTCAGCTGTAGCTTTGTTGATTTAAAGTGGCAAACCATTGAGCACTGGTCTGGCCTTTAAGTGCTGTAGCAATGGCGACTCCCTGGAGATAAGATGGCATTATCTCCGAGCAAGCTCCAACATATTCATTAAGGTCCCCTGTTTTTTTTTTTTTTTTTTTTTTACAGGTCTTATTAGTGATTGACAGAGGAGAGAGGCGTTCTCAAATGCCAGTTGTTTGATAAGAATTTGGGCTGCCTCAGTATTTGAAATGGTCTTATTAATACTGTCTATTAGTCGAGACAAAAAATCCTGATAAGTCTCTTCTGGTTTTTGTTTAATGTTGGTTAAGCCTGAAGTTTTCATGTCAGAAGTTGGGAGCTTCTGTCATGCAAGAAAGGCAGCATTTCTTATGCTGTGCAGTGCTGCGGCAGGGAGGGCTACCTGATCTTGAGGGCTGTGCCACTTGTCTTCCCCCATCATTATTTTATGGTTTAGTTTGTTTCTTTTCAGTTTGCCTCTGTTATACTCCCGTAACAGTCTCTTTGCCTTATCCTTATAATTCGCTTTTCACAACAAATATGGACCTCCAGGAAAGTTAGACTTAACCATCTGCTCCCAGTCAAAGGGTGTCAAATAACGACTGGCAACCATATTCAGCAGCTGCATGACGTATGGAGACGTAGGTCCATAGTCAGACATGGATTGTTTCAACTCTTTTAAAAGCTTAAAAGGAAGAGGCTCTCACTGAGGGTTCTTAAATTTGTCATTTACATAATTAGCAAGATAACATTGAAAAGAAAAATCACCATGTTCCTCAGCCTCTCTTATTGTTCTTGTAAATTTTACTGTTTTATTTTTACTTTTTGGCCACCTCCCTGAAGAGGTGAGGGGCGGTACATCATTAGGGAGTCTCAAAGGAGAATCAGGACATTGTTCTGGCTGTGCCCTGTCCCTCGTCAAGTCCTTTACATATTTCTTAACAATGTCAGTCAACTCTGTCAGAATAGAGTCCAGATTTTTTTTTTTTTTTGACCATGAAATCACAAGGCGCAGCAGAAACCTCAGGAGGGACATTGCTTTTATCTTTCAGGAAACTATTTGGCTTTTTAAATATTATTTTTTTATCTGATGACTCAGATTTATTTTTTTGTACTGCATTAATTGATTTCCCCTGGTTTTTGAGTCCCTGTTCTGAACTTTCCTTGCCCAGGTTGAGGTGATCTACCTGCTCTGAAAGCTGTCTCTGTGGCTGCCTCTGCCGCCGAACGTCAGTGAACTTACTGAAAAGAGGGAGGCTTTTACTCAGACACATAGTATATCCGAGTGAATAAGACCCCCTTCTTCTGTGCGCTGGACTGGACAGTCAATGACGGGTAAGATTGGGGGCAGACTAAAGAAGGCACTGGCCAGCCTCATGTCTGTGACTCTTGACGACCTAAGACAGGCGCAGTCCCCGAAGGGCTTCATTATGAAAATTTTTGGTGTTTAATTCAGGCAAATGTCTAAATGGCTGTAAGCCCAATCTAGGCAATAAGCCCGCAGTAAAAAACCCCTCCTTTGCTTGTAAACAAGGCTGCTAAGAGCGTTGCCTACAAACAAGCCTGATGGAATTACCTACAAAGTAGTTTTAACCATTAACCAGTTAGTCATTATTTCTGAATAAGAAGCAACTTAGCAACCTGTCTGTAATTATACTATTTTATTACCTACCTGACTTTTTATATATATGTAAAAAATCAGTTTTAGGAAATGTGTTGTAACCACATATGCTTAGCAACTTGTAAATCATTAGCTAGAAAATTGTATTTTATGCCTAGGTAATAAGAAACATTGTTATGCTGGGAAAATAAATTTTGTGTGACCTAATGCCTTTTGAAAATGTATAAATATGCGTAATGATTTGAGCAAATTACATTCAGATCTTCACTCTTGAAGTGTGTCTGTCTGTCATTTATGCGCCAAATCCTTGACCATCCTGCACGAGTTTCACATCCCTGGGACGGCCTTGCCAGTCTACCGCTGTGCTGGTCTGCGGCAGGTGGCGCCCAACGAGGGGCTTGAGTCCAGGTCAATTTAAAAAAAAAAGTGTCCCTGAAAAAAGGTAAGTGAAGGAAAAACTGTGCAGGATAAGCTGTCGCTCTCTCTTTGTTTTTTATTCTTTTCAAGTCAAGGATAGGATCCTTGCCAGAGCGCCGCAGGCTTGCTGATAAAGGATCATCAGTTCGAGAAGGCCAGGAAATCCCACATAGTTTCAATTCGTGAGTGTGTGTGTATGAATGCATCTTATTGTTGGCTACACGGCCTTGGCTACGGGTCTGAGTGAGCTGCAATCGGTCACTTGCGGGACGTCATACGGCATAACGGTCATCTGTTCTTTGGAACAGCCTGGTCCGGGACTTATACGGACAGACCTTAGCTAAGACGTCTCAGAGTTCCCGCGAGGGACGCGAGCCGGCCAGCGCTAGTGTGTGACCCCGTCTATATAAACATGGGACGATTGCAAACTAAGAATAGAGACCTCTTTCTCTCCATTCTGGGCCATATGCTCGAAGGAAGAGGAATGAAAGTAAGTAAAAAATCACTTGTGGAATTATATGAATTCATTTAAAAGGTTAGTCCTTGGTTTCCAGAGGAAGGGAGCTTATCTCTTGACAACTGGAAAAAAGTGGGCAAGGAAATTAGAAAATTTTATAATCAACAGGGACCCACACAGGTCCCCCCTCAGGCCTTTTCCCTCTGGGTCCAAATCTGAGACCTATTAGTGGATAGCACTGAGGCAGACTTATGGAGAAAAAAAAAATATGAGTGACTCACACAGTGAGCATGAGGCAGTGCCGTTTGCCTCTTGGTCAGCAAAAAAAAAAAAAAAAAAAAAAAAAAGAAAATAATGTAATATAATCTTATAAAAAACAAATGCTTCAAGCCTTTTTGGGGAGGAGGCTAGGTTCAACCTACTAGAGGTTTCCCCTACCAAAGTTTTGCCATTTATTCTTTTAAAATAAATAAATAAGGTATTTCTAAATAATAGTATTTAAAGTTCATTTACTATTATTAAGGTAATAAAAAATAGTTAAATATAACTATATAATATAACTAAAGGTTTTTATAAAAATATTATAAATCCACTGCAACAGATGGGTGGGGGCTGCCCCTGGTCTCAACAAGCAACTGCCTGGACTTTTTCTCCAGTGTTGGGATCACTGGCAAGTCTCTACTGCCTTCCTGCTGCGGGGGACTGGACTCTTCTATTGTCCACCTTAAAAAACTGTTTTGGTTCATTCTAGGAAAAAAAGTTTTATTTCCTTGTGTTTTTTCTAATTTTAAAGTCTAAATTGTCTAAGGTAAAAATTACTGAGTTACTTTAGATATACTAACAACCTATACAAAATGCTTATTGGTTAAATAAAAGTTTTTAAATTTACTTATTGAACCTATAAAAGGTTAAGTTTCTGTTAAAATTAATTAACCTAAAAAAATTTAAAGTAACAATACAGACATATTTGAGCTAAATTCAAACCTCAAATTTTGATAAAAGCCTAAAAACAGGCAGACCGTAAAAATTTCCCTCTTCTCCTGTTATCAAAATGAGTGTTCTTTTTTGTTTTAAAATATGCTTGCTCTCAGTATAATAAAACATTTACAACCTAAAGCCAAAAAATCACTTCTTAAAAATATGAACTCAAAAAATATTCTCTTATCCACATCAGGGACTTGAGGGAAGCTCTTGTCCCCTACTTCTGAAAACAGGGACTGAGACTCTTGTAGTTTGTTGTTTATTTTCTTTAACTCAGCGCCTTGGTCCAACATATTTTGTAACAGCCCCCTCAAAGAAAAGGCATTGACAGGGACCTTCTCAGGACCAAAGATGGAAAAATAGGTTGTCATCTCCTCCCCCACTCGGGTCCAAGTTTTGACATCAAGAATGCCATCCCTCGGAAACCAGGGGCAACCAGTTTCTACAAAATTTAAGAATGAAGCCAATTGTGCATGGGAGGTTTTTATCACTCTCTTGTTAAGTGTATGCCTAATGATATCTATAAAGAGTCTTTTTTTTTTTAGACTCAATATGGCCCATAACTTCTCAAGATAAGACACCCACTCGTCTAGTTTTGAATTACTGCTCCTTCTCACTCCGCCTATCTCTACAGAGGGGTTCCAGTACCCTTGAGCAGATCCTAGCAGTTCCCTGATCTCTCCGAAATTTTTAGTATGAAAAATGCTGACCTGTCAGGTCCCTGTTTGGGCGCCACCTGCTGAAGACCAGCCTCGGCAAACTGGGTGTCAGGGGTTCCTGAAGGATAGGATGGCGTCGGCGCAATTGAGGAATGGATCAGGTACACACAATGTCTGGTGTTGGTATGTCTGTCCCCGAGAGTCTCAGCAAGTCTTTATTTATTTATTTTTAGCAAGCAGTGAGATTGCATTATCATATGCATAGAAGCAAAGCAAAAACAATTAGTACATTTTTTTCCCATAGACTTTTGGCTGTCATGTGTTTTCAGAAAGAAGGCAACCTTCAAGGTTAATAGATAAAAAACTAAACCTTACACTAAAATTCATTATTTCTGCCTAGACAAATACCTAAGAACAGTTGATAGCTGCCAGTACACTTCTATTTGCTAAAGCCTAAACATTAAAAGATTTTTTTATTTAAATGGCCTTTAGTCAGAGACCAGCTGCTTTGTGGTTATCAGCTAGCAGGGTTTTCTACCAAGAAACTTAACACAATTAACTTTATTTAAAAACTTTCCCAAGAAGCTTCTAAAAAAGCAAAAGAAGGACTTACTGTAATTGTTGTCCTGGGTTGCTTGTCAGGCATGTTCATGTGTAACAAACTCTTTCCCATTGTCAGGCAGGCCAAATTTTCAGTGTTTAATTTTTAAGCAGGTATTTCTTAGTGCCATTTACTTACAGTATTTTATATGTATAATTTATTGTCCAATGTGCATTCTGAGAAGTTTTTTCTTATATGACTAAGAACAAAAAGCAAAGGGATGCTTATAGGTTATAGATTAATCTTCAGCCCCACGGTGTGAGACTCTTTGGAAATCTTTGGCCCCAAGGTGTGAGGCCCTTTTTCTTAACTGCTTGCCAGTGTCTTATCTGGCTGGGGCAGTAAGGCCCCCTGCAGGGGAGACTCCTGAGAAGAGGGGAGTCCTGCACTTCCCAGAAGTTCTGAATAAGGGAGTTTCCATGGCAATGCCTGCTAATGCTCTCCTGTTTGTTCTTAGTTAATGCAGAAGTAAGTTAGTTATAAATTGGCTTGTGAAAACCTAATTCGGACTTAGGCGTTAATTGGCCTATTGTCCTTATGCTTGAATCATTATTAAAGAAAGTAAAATTGCTAAAGGTATAGCCAGGAAAGAAATGTCCTGGCCCTGAGAACTACGGAGAACAAGCTGCCTTGAATCAGCTGTGCTTGGAAACCACAGCCTAACCTAGGGGGCACGTGCTTGCGGCAATAGTACATTTCCTGGTGTATGCAAAAGGTCAATAGCTCGCAGGCTGTGTGGAGGTTAGGTATTTCTAGATAAGAGTTAGACTTCAGTAGAATTAACATAGATTTTATGAGTTTATTTAGGCCACTTTGAAGTAATTGATAAATTAGCCAAGTTAATTGAGTGCTAGGGAGATAGGTCGATTTTAGTAATAGAATATAGGATAGGACTTTCACACCCACTCCAAAATTAGGAAAGTTTAATAGGATGATTAATTGTTATCGAATATTGTGCTGTCTTAGATAATTGATCATGATGGGAAATGAGTTGCACCAAGAAAACCAATTATCTCTGATGTTTTTCTTAAGGTGATCAAAGAAGTGCCCTTTTGGTATGAGACCAAGAGGGTCTCTATATGTTCATGAGAAAATATGTAATGATTGTCTTTGTTTTGCTTCAATGCTTATTTATGCTGATGTAATCTCACCACTTGCCTTACTGTATAAATAAAGACCCTCCAAGACCCTCAACAGGAGATACTTGCACCAATATAAGAGTGTCTGTGTCTGCCTCATCCCTCTTCCCCTCAGCCCTCAGTTTTTGCTGACACCGTCCTCTCCTTTCAGGGACTCTTGACACGACATTCTGCTGAAGAGGGTCTCCAGCAGGTTGGCCTGTGCACGGTGGACGCTCGTGGAGCATCACAGGCAGAATGCTTAGGGACTGCTTGGTTGGACCCCAGTGTTGGCTGCTTCTCTTATTTCTCTTGGTGGGACAGCATCACCACACTGTGCCTTGGCTCACACCTGTCCTGGGTCCACTGGTCTCCATTCTTGTGATGCTTGCCCTTGGGCCTTGTCTTTTAATCTGGTCATGTGGCTTATCCAGTTCTGTTTGAAGGCTACTAAACTCCAAATGTTAGTTAGACAATATGCGCCCTTAGACTCCTTTCCTGCTGCTTGCTATGAGTCCATACCTTGATACTGTCTAGCACATAATAGGAGTATCAAAAGGGGGCAAATGAAACAAAGTTTCCCAAGTCTGCTGCTTGGGGGAGTCTACCACTCTGATCCTTCTTGCTGAAGCGAAGAAGTTGCTGGGTGTACTGCACTGCTTGTCCGTGACCCTCTTCCTGAACAATAAAGAATGCTTATGTTATGAAGCATGGGATATCAAGTTTCCTCATACAAACTGTATAAAACCCTGCTATTCTTGTTCTTGGGTGCTCAGCTCTTTGGGGAGCAATCCCACTGTGTCCACTGGTGTGACAATTAAAGCTCTCTCCAACTCTCTGAGTGCTGTCTGATTTCTCTGGGAAATTGCTGTAACAAAACCACTTCATGTCTGTGAGAACGGCCTATATCAGAAAGACGAGACATTAACAAGTACTGGTGGGGACCTGTCGAATAGGAAACAGTTCTACATTGTTTTGGGAATGTAGATTGGTTGGGTTTTGATGGAAACAGTATCAAGGTTTCTGCAAATAGCCAAATCTCTCTTGACTAAAAAGAAGGAGAATGGAGGCATCACACTCCCACACTTCAAACTGTACTATAAAGCCATAATAATTAAAACAGTATGATACTGGAACAAAAACATACACACAGACCAATGGCATTGAATAGAAAACCCAGAAATAAATCATGTTTATGGACAACTAGTCTTTGACCAAGGAGCAAAGCATATGCAATGGAACAAGGACAGTTTGTTCAATAAATGTTGCTGGGAAAACTGAACTGCTACATATAAAAAATGAAGCTAGACTACAACCTCACACCATGCACAAAAACCAACTGAAAATGGATATAAGAATTCAACAGCATTAATACCAGAAACCATAAAATATATAGAAGAAAATATAAGCAAAACACTACATGATATAAATATCCATAACATCTTTAAAGACACAAAAAAACAAAGAAAGTGACACAAGAAAGCAAAGAAAGTGAAGGAAAAGATAAACAGCTGGGATTACATCAAACTAAAAAGCTTTTGTACAACAAAAGAGACATTAACCAAAACAAAAAGACACCCTTCTGAATGGGAGAAAATTTTTGCACACAATGCAAATGGTAAGGGACTGATCACAAAGATTTACAAAGAGCTCACAGGACTCAACAAAAATGAACAATCCAGTCAAAAAATTGGAAGAAGAGCTAAAAAGGCTTCTCCAAAGAGGAAATGCAAATGGTCAACAGGTATATGAAAAAATGTTCAGCATCACTTAATTCAGGGAAATGCAAATCAAAACCACAATGAAATACTACCTTATACCAGTGAGAATGGCACATATTAAAAAAACAGCAGCAACAAATGTTGGCAAGCATGTTGAGAAAAGGAACTCTCCTACACTGCTGGTGGGAATGCAAACTGGTCCAACCACTATGGAGAGCTGTGTGGAGATTCCTCAACCTGCTAAAGATTGAGCTTCCATAAGAATTCCAATCTTAGGAATCTACCCAAAGGATACAAAAGCATTAATTCAAAAGGATATCTGCCCCTATGTTTATTGCAGCGCTATTTATGATAGGTAAGATGTGGAAACAACCCAACTGCTCAAAAATAGATGACTGGATGCAGAGAATGTGGTATATACACAATAAAATATTCAGCAATCAAAAAAGATGCGATTCTCAACATGCCTGGAGCTAAAAGGGATCATGTTCAGTGAAATGAACTAGAGAGATGAAGAAAAATATCCATTGGTTTAACTTAGAGGAGGAATATAGGGGAATATAGGGGAATCAAATAAGGGATCAGGAAACTAAATAGCATTAAATAATAAATAAAAAACCAAAATTAGCAAGAAACTATAAATCAGACATTTTGCAAGGGACAGGGAGGTAGGAGGAGCAAAACAGGGGAGAGAAGAGCACAAGGGACTATGGTGATGGTTCATGGGTGAATTGGTGCTGGGAATTTCATGGGGAATACACCTGAAAGGAGAAAGCATACAAACATACATTGTACAAAAAAAATGACATTTTATGTATGTGTATATATATATCTATATACATATATATAACATTATTGAGTTTAATTAGAAAATTAAAAGTGTATCTGCCATAGGGCCCAGTAGTCCCACTCCTAGGTATCTACCCACAGAACACAAATACGCTACCATGAAGGGCACCTTGCACATCCATGATCACTGCAGCACTAGTTACAATATCCAAGCTATGGAAACAACCAAAATGCCTGAAAACAGATGATAATTCAAGAAGTGGTATATAGATAATAGTATACTACTTGTCAGAAAAACATGAACTCATGCCATCTGGGGCAACATGGATAGAGCTAATTGAAATAAGTCCAAAGGAGAAAGACAAGTATGTCACCCATATATGGATAGAGAAAGTCTAACAAAGGGCTACATTAAGAAAAACTTGAAAACTAACCCTGAATCCTCCAGGCTGCACCTATTGCTGACCAGACTTTGGACCAGCCCAGGCTTCCTGCCCCAGCAGCACAGGATGATGGATCGACCCTCTCTAGTTTGGCATCAGACTCATTTGATGACAAAGCCTTACTCCTGCTGACTGAGTACCCCATTTTTTCTTGTTGCACCTGCACCACCCCTGGATCCTCCAGCCTCCCTGATTTGCTAGAGCTAAGATTGATCTTGTACTTGATGCTGTAGACAATTATTTTTTTATACCGTTTCCATATCCAACCACAGGGCCAGAGTATGACATCTTCCAACAAACTGTAATTCTCCTGGATATAAATCTTGGTGCTTATATCCTTTATTTCCTCTGTGACAATGAGCTATAGTCATTGTCTATAGTCATTCCCTCATGAACCACCCACAATATTTATAGAATCAAGTCTGCTGAGAATCATGTTTACTGTTAGGTCATTACCATGGATTAAGTATTCCCACCATTTCACTGTTTCTGTGGAGCTGAGAGGATGCAGCAAATTATATGACAAATAGGAGAGTTTCCAAACAGCTGGATTCAACTCATTGCTCCTGTATGGTCCTTCCTCTTTCTCACCAACTTGCTGATCTCCTGGATTCACAGAGGCCTTCACGATAGACTTACAAATAAGCGAATCCATGAACCTCATCTCTGGAAGATCCTTCTTCACCTGCAAGTCATGGTTTTCACCCTGTGGATGGCTTTCTTCAGAGTCTACCTTATCATCTCTACCTTTCATCTTTCCATTACATCAGCTGGTTTATTTAGGTTGTACATGTTGGTCAATGTCTGCACAATTTCCATTCATGACAATGATTTCTGTCTCCTCAAATCTTTTTCTTTCATAATTTTTTTCATAATTTTTAAAAAGATTTATTTTATATATACAAGAGCTGGGGTACAGGCCAGAGGTGCGGGAGGGTGAGAGGATTCACCAGAGACAGAGCAGGGAACAGAACAGGCAGACTGACCGAAAACACTGCTGAGGGGAGCAGCGGGCGAGAACAGGAGAGGTCTGCCGCACCACGTGGTATCTCTCTGGCTGGCCATGAATTGAATCCATGCTCCAGAGGCTGTGGACAGCTTCAAAGCACTGCACTCAACCACTGCGCCACTGGGGAGGTCCTATCTCCTCAAATCTTAAGGCCATTTATTAATGACTCAGTTCATCATACTGACCATCACCTCTTCTCTAACTACAACTGTGGACAGTATTTTACATTGCGGGGTAGAATTAGAGGCCCATTCAAAAACCCTTCTTCCTTTGAAGGGATGAAGGTGACAGAAAAAAACACAGCAGGGCCTTCCTTGGTGGTGCAGTGGTTGAGTGCTGGGCTGCGAAGCTGCCCGCAGCCTCTGCACCACCAGTTCAATCCCTGGCCGCCGGCGAGGGTGCCACATGGCATGCAGATCTCTCCTGCCGTGCCCACTGTGCCCCTCAGCAGTGTACTTCATCAGTCTGCCTGTTCTGCTCCCCGCTCTGGCTCTGGTGAATTCTCTCACCCTCCCGTGCTTCTGACTGTACCCAGAGCTTGTATAAATAAATAAATAAATCTTTAAAAAAAAAAAAAAAGCACAGCAGCCAGCAGGAAGTTGTAAAAAATAAGAAATTATTCAGTGGAGAGGTTGCAAAGATTATCGCTCAATTATTAAATATTTTTAATGAGGGAAAATAATCTACATCCAGCCAGGAGACATAGCAATGGTAGCATTTGAAATTCTGCATTGAGGGCCCTGCGGAGGGATGGTCATGCTGAGAACAAGAGAAACCAACATCCTGTGTAAATACCAGTGGTGACCTAAGAGGTGACTGTGTCTTTCCAGCCAGTGAACCTGTAACTTATTGTGGGGTAAGGAGCAGGGGAAAAACTTCAGGCTTTTCCTCACTCCCACTGTGCATGCACACTTGGCCAACCGGCGTGGTGTCATGTGGCGTGGTGCAGCACAGTGTGGTACATTGCTGATGATGGAGGAGTGCAATGGAATGGATGGAGGTGTGCGCCCTGAGAGTGGCAGAGCACAACGGAGTGTGGCGGCGAACAGCAGAGAGCATGAAGAGCATGAAGCACAGCTGCTAGAACCAGTAATGGACCTACCTGGTATGGGATGGTTGCGCTATATTTGGCATAGACAGCAGGACGGTTCAAAGCAGGACGGCTGGGCGCAGATGGGTATGGAACCCTTTGAAACCTGGGGAGGGATTGCAGGGTGTGCGACCATGATCAGATGGTCCTCGGGGGCCGGACTCCTCTCCCAGTGGGCGCCTCCCCAGGAATGGCCAGAGGTAGATGGATCCCCGGGGCAGGTGGAACAGGCCCTAAACGAAATAGAAGAGGCCCTGGATAGATACAGTGCCCACGAAGCTGCAGGGGCTGTGGGATGGGTGTTTCTCACAGTTCTGCCAGAGTAGGCAGAGAGTGATCCAGAATCCAGCAAGTACTGGATGAGATGCGGAAAGAGATGTGGAAACATCCTCAACGTTTGAGGATTCTGGAGGAAGAAGTTCAGAGAAACCAAACCACCATTCTGGAGATGCCAGACTGCTTCTCAGGAGAGGAGGAGAGGGAGGCTTGCTCTTTGCCTGAGTCTCAGCCAGTGGTAGCAAACCAACCTGCAACTCCAGAGATGCCGGACTCCTCTGGAGAGGAGGAGAAGGCTGGTCCCATGCTCTGGGTCCACCCAGTGCTGACTCAGAAAATGAAGCGACAGCAGCCCTTGGCCTCAGGGGGTGAGGCTGCTGGACCACCACACATGACAGAATTTACTACGTACTGACCATACACCCCGGCGGAACTGGTGGACTTGGACAAACAGTTCCGCCAGAAACCAGGGGAACCTTGGCAGCCTGGCTGCTATGCTTGTGGGACCTGGGGGTGGATGGGGTTATTTGTACGGCACAAGAGATGGAGAGACTGGCCTCTGTGACTTTACACTCATCCTTGAGACAAAGGCTGCAGAACAGCCGGTGGTATGGCCAGGGTGATCATACCCTGCTGGAGTGGATAATGGCTGCCATAAGAACAGTATAGGCTGATACAGGAGAAGTGCCAGAGACAGTGAGCAGATGGCAGATGTATACCAAGCTGGTACAGGTACTTGGGGAGTTGGGGATGTGGCAGGCCATGTTCATTGTGAATATTCATGGTCCTGACAATGAGCGTTTCACAGCAGGGATGAGAGACTTGGTATTAAAGAGTGCCCCCTCATCCTCATTTGGATCCCT